ATATGTCCTAAAACATAAAACACTTCCCCCCTCTTTCCTACACCTGTTTAGGGTATTTGAGTGCCATTTCAACGGACACGGCCATCGTTAATCAAACAGAAAAGCAACCTGTGCTGAGTGATTCATTTAATAGTCTAACATGGAATAACTAGGAAAACATTTACTGGATCCCTCTGATTCCTGAAACACTGGACAAGTTACTGACAAAATATCCCCTACATTTCTCTTGCGAAATGCAGCTAGTGTCTGTGCAAAGGTGCCTATAACAACGGGGTACCTACAGTAACAATGGCAGACTCAAAGAATTCTGGTTACACGGTTAGCCATATTTTTCCAATATACACGTAAAATCCTTCTAAACTCTGCCCTGGGGACCTCCCTGGTTATAAAATTAAAAAAAAAAAATCACACACACACACAAGATACAATTGGTATATGGTTCATGAAATGGCAAGAATCAGCGTGGCAGATTTTTACCACCAATTAAAACGAGTTAACATGCAGGAATGGTACCCTACAACAAAGTTCATCACACTGGTACATTGAGAAGAGCACGGGGCCCGCCAAAGGGCTGGGGTCCCTGTTCCTGGCTCTGCCCCACGCAGCGTGATGCACTCTAAGGTTCTTAAATTCTCTGTGCCCATTTCGTTAGCCATAGAATAAAGGTATGGCGTCAGATGAACTCCAAATAGCCCCACAGCTCTTTCAGAGCTAATATTCATGATTCTTCCATTTCAAATCTACTGTCCAGTTCATTTATAAATGGCATCTTAGCTAACAATGTCGCGATGATACGCATTCCTGTCCACAAAAGTCTAATATGATTGGGAAGACACAATATTCAAACACCAACTTCATTTAGCCAAAACTTGAACTAAACTCCAAAACTGACAAAATACACATTCCTCCCCCTCCTACCCTACCCCCCAGCCCCACAAGTGTAGTCAGAGGCTTTCCTGAGATAGAGGAGAGAAATTCTCACTTGGAAGTCTTCTAGTGACTTCTTCTAATAAATCTTTTTACTTTCCCTTTGAATATTAGGAAAATGTACCTATTTAGATGTGCAAAATACCTTCTGTTAGCAATAAATAAATATAAAGAATACTGAAAAAAAAAAAGAACTAAAAAGCAACTCCACAGGTCAAGAAACACACTAATTTCTCAATCAACTACTACTTGAAGATTACTGGGCAAAGGAAATATATTTACATGTAATATACTGAGAGGCTGGTGCTGCAATAAAATATGTAAACATTTATGGCATGTTATTCAGCATGTGAAATAACTGAAATGAAAAAGGATGTTATGGATCAGTCCATAAACTTTTGTCTTTACTACTTTAACTTACTTCTGGGAAAACTATTGTATCAAAATTTCGCACTGTTGCTGTGAACTCTAATAGTTAGAACTAGTAAAAATACCAAAAGAAAGTGTTTCGGAATGAAGAAAGTCAAATGAAATGGGTTTTTATAATGCCAGAGTAAGTGTTTCTCATGTTAAAATCACTCTGGAAAGTGCAGCTGAGGCTGTCACTGACTCGAAATGAATGTACAGGTTAGTCACATGTAACAGTGACTGGCACATGGCAAGCGCTTACCAAGCACTGGCTACCATTAACCCTACACCGAATCTAGCTCCAGCGTACACAGAAGGCCATAATCAAATAATTAACATCAGATGACTCAAGGCTATCTCTCCAGGAGACCACAGAACAGTGCATGCTGCGTGAAACCAGGATGTAAACTTTGGAAACTTGGACTTAAAAGCAGAACAATTCTAAATGACTGAAATATTCTAACACAAATCTACAAAAATTAATTATGTGCATTGATTTTGTATTAATTTAAGAAAAATGAAAATGCAAGTCAAATTATAAGACTGATTTGGTCACAACAAAATGCAATGGATTCTGTTTTCGTTCTTGCATGTTATTCAACTCTCAATGGTTTAGAATGAAATGTTTTTTAATGCCCGAAACTTAAGCACCCTATAAAGACAAGATCCTATCAAATCATGCTAAAAATCCAATGAACATGCTGTTCACAATAACTGCCTTATCTTCCCAAGGGTGAACTCTTGGAGTAAAACATGAAACAGCAAAAAGAAGTGTGGCTACCCTTTCACAAAACTATGGAAAGCTTAAGCAAACTCTAAACTTCCACATAATCAATGTGCAAAACAGGTTCCTCTCTTTAAAATAACCCAAATAGTTGGAAAATTCCATTGAATTTATGTAAGAAAAAAACACCCTCTCACATGTTTACATCAAAAGCTAGAGTTGAGCCCCAGGCAGCTGGCTCAGTTGGTTGGAGCAACGTCCTGTACACCAAAGGGCTTTCAGGTTTGGTCCCTGGTCAGGGCACATTCCTAGGTTGAGGGTTCAATCCCCCAGTCAGAAGGCAACCGACTGATGTTTTTTACCTCTCCACCCCCCTCCTTCTCTCTCTAAAATTAATAAATAATCCCCAGGGGGAGAACTTTAAATAAAATCTTAGATCCTTATGTTGCACAAGACTCCACGCTAGGTGTATTTGCCTGCGAAGTGTTTAACCAAACATGTTTAGACTGACAGTGACCTGAAAACAAACTTCCTTTCTCACAGGAGTGATGTCCCGTAAATATGAAAAGTTTCCAATCAAACCAGCCCCTATCCCACAGCTCACACCCTAATACTTGTTGAATGAACAAAAACATACTTAAAATATTTTACAGGCATACATTTACACGAACAATAAAAAGTCCAAAGCAGAACCTTTAAGTACTCGGACAGACACAACTTAAGCTAAGTCAGTGTCAAACCAAAACTTAAGTTAGAACGTAATTCACCAAATCATGGACAGGCTAAGCGTATGGGACAAAGTGACTACAAATAGTGGTTTCATAAATTATCTCGCAGAATTACATTAGAACTTTTTACACACTGTAAGCAAACATGGTACTGCAAATACACAACACAAACGCACAGCTTAAGCTAAAAGTCAACCTTCACTTCATTTCCAATGTTGTCTCATCATGTAAGACACACACTTGCCTCACTTTCAACCCAGAAGCTCAAGGCCATCAGAGTTAGCAGAGTCAAACCGAGGGAGAAAAACACAAAGCAGATCTTCAACACAATCTCCTTGGTAAACTTTCAAAGTCAAAGTTACATATCGTCAGGAGGAAAAACAAACCCTACAGTCCTGATGTATACAAGGTGGGGCAAAAGGAGGTTCACAGTCGCTCGTGTGGGAAATAATACAATAAATAACACTAGAATAAACTTTTGCGTACTCACAACTGTAAGTAAGCCTCCTTTCGCCCCACTCTGTCTATATACAAGTAATTGTGCCTTCAGTCATATACCTTAGAACACCAGTAACTTATGAATAGACATGTTAATAAATATTTTCATGTTTTAGACAACCACGTCTTTGAGTAGTCATATTCATGTATACATATTTTGCAATGCCACTGAAGTTCTGAAGACAAAGTTTCCTAAACCATCTTTATTGGACTCGTCCACCTTTGGTTTTTCAACTATTTCCTAAGGATGTATAATTGACTTCAATGCGTTTCCACCAAAAGCAAAACCCAGCACTTGTCTAATGATTTACAGTGTGCTAAAACTTATATGACCACCCTTTTCCAAATATGGAACATGTATCTACATTGATGATCTGAGGCAGTTGGCAACGTGCTAACTGCAAAAAGTCATTATTTCATACCCTTTAGCTTTAGGGTGAGCTTTAAAATGTGACCATTTTGTTAATTCTAGTAATGAACCAGTAGACATAGAGTTCAATGCTAAATTTCTATCTGGAAACGATATGAATTACAAATCCATTGGGCTTTCAACTAATCACCACACTGGTGGGATGAGTTGGTTTTATTTTCATAACATGATTTTGATGAAAGAAACGTGAGCATCCTAACTTTGACCTAAGTGCAAACATTTCCTCTGCTTCCAAAGGTAAACAGCAAATGTCAATATCGAAAATCTGGCCCTAAAGAGACACAACCTGGCCTAGCTGTAGATTCCTGGGAAATCCCAAACAAGGGGTGACCCCGCCAAGGAGTCAGGAGGAACACAGCGACCAGCGAGGCTTCAACTTAGGGCTCTGAAGGGCCCCACCAGCATCATGGCTGATGCAGACCGATCCGCAGGAGGAGGCGATGGACGAGGAAGAGGCTGGTTTGTTTACTTGCAGCCCGAGCCGCCGCCGCCGCCGGCAGCAGCGACAGCATCACTGGATCAGCCAAACCCAGCATCTATCGCACATTTCTATTCTTGGCACACAACTCCCCAGCGGATCAAAACCCCACTACTATTAAAAACACAGACAAGCACGTTACCCACCTCCCCCCCGCACATCCCCACCCACCCCACCAGCGCCGTCTTTTCTGCGCGCCGGCAGCCGGGTGGGTGGAGGAGGAAGGAGACCCCGGGGGACGCCGGTGCATCCTCGCCTTCACCCCACCCCACGCGCACGGGCGGCCCCAGCGCAGGCAGCGCGGCAGACAACCCCCTCCCCCCAACCCAAACACACTGACACCGAGCTCCACGCGTTATATAACCTCGCTGCCACCCCCGGTCCAAGCGGGCGCCCCCTCCCCACGTAGCGCGGCTGGCGGGGAGGGCCGAGGGGAGGGCGCGGAGTTGCGCAGAGACTGGAGGCGCCAGGGCCAGGGCTACCCAGACACGGATGGTACCGCTAGGCCGGGGACACCCTCCCGCGCCCCCTGCACACCGCTGCCCCCCAGCTTCCCCTGGAAAGTGAAGGGGTGCCCGTGTCATCAGGGCCGGGTATCCCCCGGCCTCACCACCCACACCCAAAGCCTCCACTGACCCAGCCCCCGCCCACGCCCCCGGCGCGGTGACAGCCCAGGCGCCCCCGCCTCTCCCCACCCCAGCGTTGCCCCCCGTCCGAGGGAGGACAGGAGGGAGGACCAAGCTGGGGGTACAGAGGGACTGGCGGCGAATCGAGAAAGGGGCGCAAGTGGGGGGCGGTGGCTGTTACCTGCAAAGGCGGCAGTGGCGGCCCGCAGCTGCTCGGGCGGCGGCGGAGGATGGAGCCGGGGGGGCGGGGGGAGGAGAGGGGGTGACTCGGGGGTCCCCCCTCCCTCCTCCTCCCCTCCTGTCCTCCCCCCACCCCGCAAAGCCTCTGGCCCCCCTGGAACCCGGTGCGGCCGGCGGGAGGGCAAGCGAAGGGCTGCAGGGAGGGAGGGAGGGAGCCGGCTGGGCCGGGCCGCGGAGCCGGAGCGGGAGGCGGCAGCAGCGGCGGCGGCGGGAGGAGGAGGGAGGAGGAGGCGGAGACTCTACATGGGAATCGGATATCGGCTACAAATTCAATTCATCACCAGAAAACACCGCTCGGGCGGGGGCCGGGCCACGCCAGCGAGGCGGCGGCGGGCGGCGGCTCAGGGCCCCGGGGCGCCCCCAGCACTGGCCTGGGGAATGCGGCCTCCTCTGCGGGCCCCGCCTCGCCCGTGGGACCCCGCCGCCGCCTCCCCGCCCCTCCTTCCTCCCTTTTGGGGCCGCCGCTCGGTTCTCGCTGCCGCCGCGCCGCCGCTGCCGCCGTGGGGCTTGTTGTTGACTTTGAGGAAAACTCCTGACGTCAGGGGCTGGCTCTCGGCGACTGGCGGGAGCGGCTTCCCCGCGTCCCAGGCCGGCCGCTGTCTCCGCTCCCCTCCCCTCCCCGCCAGGCCCGCGTCCTCAGGCTTCCCCGCGCCCCCCAAACCCGCGGCGCCCCGCGCCCCCTCTCCTCTCGCGAGAACATCCCCCCCAGCCAGCCGGAGCTGGGAGACCGGGCGTCGTTCTAGGGCGGGAAGTGCCGGGTTTCCCCGCGCCCTCGTGGCCGGTGGCCGGTGGCGGGCACCTGGGGCTCCGGCGGGGAGGCTCCCTTCCCGGAGAGGGGCCCGCCGTCTGGCGTGTGTAAAGCGGGGCGCCCCAGGCATCTCCGCCCGCCTCTTGCGACTTCGGGGGAGATCGAGCTGGCGCGTGCTGGCGGGCTCCCCCGCCCCTGCACTTGGAAGTGTGGTGTCCTGTGCGGGGATAACCCCGGGAGCCTAGAGCCGGCGGGAAGGGACCTAGCCCCTGTGCACCCCAGGAGTCAGCCCAATGCCTGAAACCATTTCTCACTGTCTCAGAAAACCTTACCGTCCAGACCAGAACACCTCTCCCGAGAGCCACCCATGGTGCTTCCTGCCAGCACATAGGGCACACAGAGACACAGGTTGCGATGGGATCCTGATTCACTCTTAAAATGACACCTTTTATGGGGATATTAGTTTTCACTGATTTGGGGGAAGCCATGATGTTCGCGTGCACTACGAAGAAAGTAACCATTTCTTCCTTTTGAAGTTCATGCCTCCTGAGAATATTCACAATGGAGACTCTATTTTTGCCAAATGGCCATATATTATCATACATCACATTCCATGGTTCCAGGAAAAGGTTTCTTGGGTTTTTTCTCCCTGATACCATGTTTCGTCGATTCTAGAACACTTTGGCGGTGGGGGGCGAGGGGGGGGAGGGGAAAGTATTCCGCCACAGGGCTCTAGCCTTTTCGAATTACCTGTTATATGTGTCCCAATGCAAGATTCTTGTTAATGCTTTTGGCTTCTTTCTTTCCTGAGTTGCACTTCCTTCTCTGCTTTTCCATGTCCTGACAACATTGTACAGGTACTTATCCTTTCATACTAAATTCCTGGTCTTTACAGAGTGAGTTGTAGTTACGCATCGATGTCCACATCTTTTCTCTTATGAAATCACATGTAGTGGGATTGCGGGTGGGATTGTGAAACCTATGAGAAATAAACGGGGATTGGGTTTAGTTTGGTTTTTATAGTCACTTGTAAGGGTAATGTTTCCCTGACCATGCTAGAGCAAATTTGCCATAGCAAGATACACAGTTTGCCTAAGAGAAAAAGTTCTCAATTGCTGCTTTTTTCCTTTTACCATATTTCCCAACACATCATGAACTGGTATGTAAACTGAAAAGGTAAAAGACTGTATCCTAATTTTATTCAGTTTTTCTGTGTATAAAATATGCATAATTTGTTCCCATAATTATCAGACTTCTAACAGTCCTTATTGGCAGCATGATTTCATCACAGATTTCTTGCTGTAAATCACAATAAAACGTCGTATTTTTAACTCAACGGTAACCCAAACCTACTTTTTATTTTAAAGAAAATTGTTCCTTATGACACCTGTGCTGAAAGAAAAAAAAAGTGTCCGGAAAGCTCTTAAATATTGAACTTTGAGAGTTGTGGTACTCTGAATTGCTAGATATCTCATCAATTTCAATTTCCACTTCTTTCCAATTTTAATATCCATGTGCTTATTAAAGCCAAATTTGTCTCGTGAGCCATACTGCCTCAAAACACTTTGCCTAGTCCATTAAATCTTAGCTGGACTAAACCCTAAAATTAAGTATTGTATAAACGACAATAGATTATATGCTCTAGGCTTCATGTAGAGTATTGAAAAATTGTAAACTTTTATTTTTGTTTTACTTTGCTCTCATACTGTAGGGGTTTCATAAATGTCTATAATAAAAGCCTGGTAGCTTTTATTACAGAATTACTATTTATTATAGAGCCACTATCTGTTTCAATAACGTTGTTCCTTCCCTCAGACTGCACTGTCATGAATTGGGCAGGATCCGCCCGTTGTGGTGGGGCGGCACTGCCTACAGAACGTGCGCTGGAACTCTCCTTTTAATTGTCATCACACCCCAATCACACGTGCCAATGGCAGCATGATCGTCCATGAGAATGTCCCTCCTAAACTTCAGGGGGGAAGGCCCCCATTCTTTATTAAGCCAGATATTCTTAAGGCTAACATCTCTCGGTAGTAGTAATGTATGCATCTTTTGTTTTCAAATTCTCACCTAAGAATATGTTCATTTATTTTAGAGAGAGAGGAAGGGGGGCAGGAGAGAGAAAGAGAGAAACCAGTCAGTTGCCTCCCACATGCACCCCAACCGACCCACCATGACCGAGACCGACTGGGGGCTCAGACTTGCAACCCACTCCCTGACCACGGAGCCAACCCTCAACCTTTCAGGGTACCCGATGACCTCCGACCAACTACGCTACTTGGCCAGCACAGTAATTAATGCATCTGAAAAAAAGTATTCACTCTTCTTGACTAGAAATTAGTAAATTAGATACTGAGGGCTTATTTCTGAGTATTTCTACCATTTCTTGGGGGTAATGTAAACTAAAAGGTACAATTAGAATTTCAGGACATCAGGTAAGAAAAATTAAGTTACTGCGTCAGTCTTATTAAAAAGCATGCCTTGGCTCCAGCATCTAGGACATGGCACAAAATAAAACAATAAGTGTTTGTTGAGTAAATCAATGAGTGAATGAATGAATGGAGAAATACAGCTATCTGTGCTCTCTGTGCAGTTTACATAGTACTTCCCCCTTGGATGGCTTACTGGGAAGATCCTGAGCACACTGTGGAGACTTGCAGACCCGGGTTCAAATCCCATCTCAACAGAATGTATGTCTCCGGCAAGTTGCCTAACTTTTCTGAACCTTCATTTCCTCATTTGTGAAATGACAGTTACAACTATACTTCAACGGCTTATGAAGAGAATTCAATGTGATAAAATATTCAGTAGTATCTAACAACACGGCGAGTGGTCAGCAAGCTAAAATTCCTTGACTGTAAATGTAGATACATCTGTTAGCATAGCACTACCTGTACAACAAACAAATACAAAACCTACCCTGGCACATTAACTGTAGAAGTGCATTTCTCACCCATGTGAAACTCTGAAGAGCAGACAAGGAAGGAAGCATTTTATTCGTATAGGGCCCAAATGTCTTCCACATTGGAGCTCTGATGTGCTAAACACAAAATCACAACCTCGAGCTGGCAGAAGCGCAGAAAGCGTGGAGAATCATTCAAGGAAGGCTTTATGCACGCCCCTCCCATTGGCCCCCTAGAACTCCCCAAGCCACCTAACTAACTGCAAGGCAGGCCATGAAGGGGACTCTTGCCCGGAAGAAGCAGAAATAGGCTCAAAGTACAGTCAGCCAGTCTCTGCCACAGTTGATTTCTGAAAAAAAAACCACGTTAAGCCAATAGCTGTGATTAGTGAATATCTTATATGGTTAATAGAGCAATTTCCAGAAGTGTGTAGTCGAAATCTATATATAAGTAGCAGAAGAGTCCGTTGCAATTGCTATCAGTAACAATTGTCTTTTTCTCTTTTTCACAGATGTCTTAAGGTGTAGGTCAAGCATTGTATTAATAACACATGAGAATACCTGAGGAACAGGTATGCCACGAATCTAAAACTGGGATACTTAAAGCTCTCTGGAAACTTCCCTTTTATTTCACTGTTAGGTTTTTTTTTTCCCCGTGCTACGTTACTAGAGAATGAATGAACATTTTTCATTCATATTCTCTCTCTCTCCCTTTCTGCCAGAGTCTGTTAGCGATTAAGCAATCCCTGGGCATTGCATTGAGTATTTCAGTACTCTTGGGTCACTGAAAGTTACTGACCACAATAACTGCTTGTGAAGCATTGAGCTATAACTCATGTTCTAATTCCAAAGCGGCAAGCATACATAATTATTATTCCTGGCTGTGTGGAAGAATCAAGGTGTGTAATAAAACTAATACATACCTATTGTAATCCCAAAGCCTCATTTCAGGCTATAATTTTAACTTCCTGAAGTGGTGTGCATTTCTAGCTCTTTCAGAATCTGCTCTGTGTGGGGACTGAATTTTTCAATACAACAGTTCGCAGTGAAATAATGACAGTAAATTTCCAACCCTCATCTGGGTAATTACCGCAACTCCTTTCTCAGTTATCTCATGTAAATACAGCTCTGTTCCAGAAAGTTTCCCCATCTCTTTTGAAACATAGTGTCTTCTGCTAATGAAAATACTTTCAGAATCAACTGGAAAGTTTCATATCTATACCCGACTTTTTTTTTTAAAACCCAGTATGAGCCTTGGCTGGTATGGTTCATTTGGTGAGAGCATCGTTCCGTAAGCTAATGCGGTTACAGGTTCAATTCCCAGTCAGGGCGCAGGGCCAGGCTGCTGGTTCAGTCGCTAATCAGGACATGTACAAGAAGCAACCAGTGGATATTTTTTTCTAGAATTAATGTTTCTCTCATTCTC